CCCTCTTCCCGCCCTGCAGGGACCCAGTCTGAGCTGAAGACCCAGTGGATGAACAAGTTACTCTCTCTGGTGCAGAAGAAGAACAGCCTGGTTTCCGAGGAGTCGGACCTCATGATTGAGTAAGACGCAGTTGAGTGTGTGTGTGTGGGGGGGTGCACTGGGATTCATGGGATCAGTGCAATTCAGTGCTCCTTCAGTAGCCCCACCTGTGCTCTGCCACCCACCTGCCTCAGCCAGAACTGTCTCTAACAGTCCCAGCAGCTGCTCTTTTAAATAAAACTGCAGCGAAATCCTTCCTCCTCCACTAAAACTCAGTAGCCTGCAATGCGGCTGTCCCACAGCAGGGGCATGGTCTCATGCCCCCGCGGTGGGAGTGAGAGGAGCTCTAGCCATTAGAAAGGCCAGGGCTCCTCCTTGCCGGGGGATGGCCAGATTCGAGACTGAACCTTCAAATCCCAGCAACCCATCACAGTGGCCTAAAATGGCTGTTTCTATTTTCCAGCGTGCAGCTGGCCTCCTGCTCACATCTCCCCAGCCAGCAGAGGGTGACATGAGCTCCCCATACAACTCTGAGCCTTTTATGCACAAAGTTGTTACACCTACACTGTGCCAAATGTGTTTACGGTATTGCCCAGTTCCAGCCACCCCAATGTCCTGCCAATCCACCCCCCCACCCAGGAGTGTTACCAGTGTCCTTAAATGCACCTGCTGCCTCAGAGAGAGAGACATGGGGCAGAGGACTTCCTTCAGTCTCTTGCTCTGGGGAGTGGAGATCTGCCCAACACTGAAGGCCCACGGGGCAGAAGCCCTGGGCTGCTGCTGTCCTGGCTCTGGGGTCTGACACTGGTCTTATTTTCTCCCCCTGCAGGGCGCAAGAGCTGAAGCTGGAGGAGAAGCAGTGCCTGCTGGACCAGGAACTGCGGCGATACATGAACATGGAAGGTAAGAGGGAGCATGCCCCTCGTGGCCTTGCGGCTTCCTTTTCCGGGCGGTCTGGTCACACGCACAGGCACCTGGGGGGACGGAGGCAAGCTGCAGCACGGCTCCTCCTTGCCTCGCCAGTTGAAACGGGAAGGTGGCACAAGCAATTGGAACGACTGTACGTTATTCTGGGCATCCTCCGCGGGCTCTCCACGCACTAATGCTTTACAGCTCCAAGCGGCTCTCTGCAGCGGGCACCTTTCCCGCTTTACAGATGGAAGCTCCAGCCAACGTCCTGTGCCAGCACCGGTCACTACTTTGAGGGGCTTCAGATTCCCCACCCGCCCGGCAAGGCACTGGGCATCTATTGAACTCCCCGGGAGCAGGGAGCGCTCAGCACCCTTGCAGGAATCACGCCCCAGCACGCTTTGGGAAATGTGGGCCTGACTTACCCACTGTCAGCAGTGCCAAGAGCTTCCCCACCCTCCCGCTGAGCTCTAGGGGTGCTGGGCGGGCACAGGCTACTTACCTGTGTTACGCCTGCCACTGACGTGCTGCTTCAAGGTTATCTGGAGGAGTCTGTCCTCCCACGAAGTGGTCTGGTGAACTGTGGAGCACTTGTCCTTCAGGGAGATCGGTGTTCTGCACCCGTGGATGAACTAAAGCTGTCTCCTCTCTCCCCCAGCCAGGGGAAACTGAGGTGACTTTCATGTAGCAGGTGAGCGGCCGAGCCAGGAGTAGAACCCAGGCAGCCGGTCTCTGATCGCTGCCTCCCTTGCCCCCGTTGGGAAGCAGGAGGTGCCAAAGCTCCAAGTTGATTCACTTTTCTGGAGCAGTGCGGATGAGCAGGGCAGTTCCACGCCATTCAGCCTGAATATGTATCCTGCCCCCCCCCCCCGCTCCAGTATCACTGCAGGGAAGGAGGCATTTATGCTAATGGGGGTGTCTCTGTAGAGGGACCAGCATGGCGCCCTGGGGCCGGAGAACTGAGGTCTAACGCTGCTAGCATGCTGGGCCAGGTGCTGGCTGCAGCAGGGCTCTAGGAACTCACCCCCTGCTCTGTTCTTGCAGAGACGCTGAAGATGCCTCAGGACAGGCTGGCGGAGAAGGAGATCCTGGCTCAGCTGCTGGAGGTGGTGAACCAGCGAAATGCCCTGATCCACGTGCTGGAGGAGAAGCGCCTTAGCGAGCTGAGTGAGGCTCTCCCGGGGACAGCGCAGGGGTGGGCAGGCTGAAGAGCCACCGGCCCGATCCCTGCCACGGACCCAGCATGGACAGCTTCCCCATGTCAGCCTGGCTCCTCGTTCTGCTAGGACACAACTGCCTGTGTCACCGACAGCCAAGAGACACTGCTGGCCTCTCCCCAGCAGCGTGAGAGCTGCCGGCAGGGTCAGGTCACCCTGGGAGAGGTAAGGGGGCATGTACCGAGGCAGCATGCGCCTGACACTGAAGTTACTGCCAAAGCCTCACTGAAGGGGATGAATCTGCTGTCTGGAGCGCCAGGCCCCTCTTCCGCCTGCTCTGGCAGAATGCGAGGACAAGCCCAGTTCTTGGAACGGGGGCTTCTGTTGATGGGGCTGGGCCCCTGGGCCACCAGGCAGGCTTAGCAGTTTCCTCTCTCGTTTTAGTGCTTGAGCGCTGCTCCCTAGACCGAGGGGGAGTGGATTTGACTGCGTGGCAGCACTTGACTTGGGCCCCATCTTCAGTAGGGAACAAGGCGACACTGGGCTTGTAACATGTTCGAAATGCACCAGGCAGCTGTAGCATTAACCCCGTGTTGCCAGGTGGGGGTAGAGCACCTGGTGTTTTCACCCCTTAGCTCAGGGGTGGCCAGCCTGTGGCTCCGGAGCCACATGCGGCTCTTCAGAAGTTAACATGCGGCTCCTTGTATAGGCACCGACTCTGGGGCTGGAGCTACCGGCGCCAATGTGCCCGGGGGGTGCTCACTGCTCAACCCCTGGCTCTGCCACAGGCACAGCCCCCACTCCACTTCACCCCTTCCCGCGCTCTCCCCTGAGCCTGCCGTGCCCTCGCTCCTCCCCCTCCCCCCCCAGAGCCTCCTGCATGCCACGAAACAGCTGATTGGGAGGTGTGGGGAGGGAGGGGGAGGTGCTGATCGGTGGGGCTGCCAGTGGGTGGGGGAGCTGATTGGGGGGGGCCTGCTGACATATTACTGTGGCTCTTTGGCAATGTACACTGGTAAATTCTGGCTCCTTCTCAGGCTCAGGTTGGCCACCCCTGCCTTAGCTGATGGATACACGAGACTCCCCGCCAAGGTTTACTCCAGGTGCCTTGCAGAGTGGATGTTTAAGCCAAATTAACTAACCCCTTTTCCCCCAGTGAAGATACAGCCCCAGCCTTAATGCTATATCGGCACGATTAAGTTATTCAGGGCATGAGCTCTCAGGTTCCTTTTAAGCCCAGTCCTCAGGGAGTTGCTGGATTCCTTTCAGATCAGTCCTGTTAGAAACTGTTCTTGGTGTGTCCCCCCCCAAATGTTTCCTTCTGCAGCCCAGACAAGGGGGCCCATCCAGTGCCAGAGAACTGATCAAACAGCTACAGCCTGCAGTATCTGGCTAACACGTGTCTAAGCTCCGCTACTGTCACGGGGCACAGCGCCTCCTGCTGGCCCCCCTCATTACAGATTCCTGTAACTTCTCCTCTCTGTCATATGCAGTGTTGTTGTAGCCATGTCTGTCCCAGGGTACTAGAGAGACAAGGTGGGTGAACTCTGTGTAAGCTCAAAAACTTGTCACTCCCTCACAGAAGTTGGTCCAATAAAAGATTTTACCTCGCCCGCCTTGTCCCTCCTCTCTGTCAGCAGATGTCTTCAGTGTCCATGGAAACTGGTGGGACTTCTTAATGCTCAGTACAATCTCCAGGAGGCTAACAGGATCCAGCCACAGCCAGCGAAAAAGACTAAGGAGCAGGAATTGAAGGGTAGGGGGAGAACGGCTGGGTTTTGTCACTGGGTGTGTCGGCAGCACACACATCTACCTAGCTCCACTAGCAGGGAAGCTGTGGCTGCATGGACTAGCCACTCCAGTACACACCCTGGGCGGGGTGGTAGCGCCCGTGCTGCTCCTGTGGCTGGAGCTAGCTAGATCAACGCTAATGCCAGTATATCTACGTACAACGCCTGTCCCCCCATCTCTCAGGGGAACTCCAACTCCTTAAGGCTTTGCCTTAGGAGGCTTAGGTCTTACTCTGCAGACAAAGCTACCCCATGCATCTCTCTTATTCCCGACCAGGGAATTGCTCGCAGGTGGTTCCCTCTTTGCAATAAAGCTTCACGGAGCCACCCCTGGGGCTGCCTGGAGCCCTGCCCATTGCTGCTGGGAGCAGTGAGGGCAGAGCTGTAACCGTCGGGAATTTCTGGCCAAACTCCCCGGCGTAGATGCTCTTTTAAGATGGCCATGGAGGCGTTTACACTAAAGTGCTACTCTGAAAAGTGGCTGTAAAAACAGGCTGGCCTCAGTGCTGAGCGTTTGCTGTCCTAGCGCGGTCACGCTCTGCTCGGTCACGCCTGTGTGGCTACAAAGGGTGGCGTGTTTCGTCGTAGTGCTGAAGCAGGGATCCCATCGGGACTCCCTGGTCCAGAAGTTAACCACATTAGAGAACAGAGCCGCACTATGGGTCTGTCTACACTGCAGTTATGGGGAGCGGATCGCAGCTTGGGCAGACATATGCAAGCTAGCTTTAACTGACCCAGCTTGGGTACTGGAGCGGTGAACCTGGAGCAGCACAGGCTGTTCACACCGGCCCAGAACCCTGGGTAATGACTCGGGTTTCACTGCTCCGGTATCTGAACTAGCTGGATTAAAGCTAGCTCAGGTTTGTCTACACGTGCGACAGTAGCAACCAGCGATTGCAGTGTAGACACGTACCCTCAGTCACAGCCGGACAATTCTAACTGTATTACCAACAGGCCTGTCCTATCCCCGCGTGTGTCGAGGGGAACAGCAGTCTCTGTTCTTTCCTATGAAGATGCCCCTTCGAGAGATCTCCCGTGACTAACACCCCACCTCCTGTTAGCAGTGTTAAAAGCACTCAGTCTCTTAAAGAGGTGAATACAATCATCTGTTCAGAAAGTTTATTTAACTCTAAAAGGCAGCGATAGAAAACCTGCTGTAATCAGTAAGATACCAAATGCTCAGTAATGCCGCTTGTTTAAAAATCAAGTTAACTATAAAAAGGTCTGTGGAGCAATCCAGTGCAAAGGAAACCGCCTGCCCTTCACCTGCTCTCCAGGGCAGTCGCCGCCAGCTGGCAGCGCCATCCACTGAGCGCCCAGGAGCCTCTTGACTTCCCCCCCCCCCCCCGCCCGCTGTCCTACATGGAGCTGAGCTTGTCCTGGAGCGCCAGCCTCATCTGCTCCTCCGTCCCCTGCAGCATCTTCACCTCGATGGTGTGGAAGACGTACAGCACCATCGAGAGCAGCAGCACCACCGTGGCCAGCAAACTCAGCAGGGAGAAGGAGAACTTGGGGAAGGGCTGCGGGGAGTCCCAGCCCACCAGGGAGCTCAGGCCCATGGCCGCCTGCAGGAGCAGCAGGAGCAGGGCCAAGATGGCCATGCGGCCATTGGAGTAGCGCTGGTGCTCGGCGGCGTGCAGCCCCACCCTCACCTCTGTCCGGGCCTCGTTCACCACGTCCACCAGCTCCGGCTCTGCAAGAGAAAATGGGGGCTTAGCCGCCGCGTGGGACAGCTCCTCCAAGCCAGCCAGGCCGCCTCGGATACAGCCCCAGTCTCCCCAGGGGCTCCCGGTGTCTTACCTGCCAGAGAGACACATCGTGCCGATAAGGCAATCAGTGGGACCGCTAAGGCCTTGTCTATGCGGGGCGGGAGGATTAATTTGCACGCTAACTGGTGCCTCTGTCAATGTGGTACCCGGCGTACGCCGTTTTCTGCTTCAGGACGGAGCTTTGTGCAGAGTGAGGGGCATTCTGGGCAGGTATCCCACAGTGCTTTGCTTTGCTGCTGGGCTCTATGCATTCTGGGTCTTTCTCGCCATGCGGTGTGAGATTCCCTAGTGCCAGCTGGATGGAAATGATTGGGCTGTGGGATCAAACCCAACCATTCCCTTGATTGCTCTCTTGGGGTTTGCAAACGGCCCGCCTGCTATCGTGGCCTCGTTCCTGCAGAGCATGGAAGAAGGAGCTCTGATGTGGCTGCGGTCGGAGGCTCACCTAATGGCTTGGCAGGCTGACCTGGCTGGCAGAGCTCTCTCAAGATCCCAGTGCTCCAGGCCCTGGGCTGCAGTCCATGCTGCCCGACAAACTGCCCTCCCTGAGCCAGCTGCATCCCCGTTGCCGAGGTCTGAGCGGCCCAACCACTCACCGACTGCGCTGCTGCTCGAGGCCTTGGCCTCCTCTCGTGGCTTCACACACAGCGTAGCGATAACAGCTTCGTGGTCCGAGTAGGGAATGCTCTTGCCAGGGGCGGTGCCCGTGGTGGTCATGAGGCTGTCACATTTCACCACAAAGTGAGACAGTCCCTAGGGGAACGGAAGACGGAGGGCAATGGGGCACAGTGCTACGCAGGTCCTGGGGCCATTCTCCCCACGGCCCCTCCCCGGCCTGCCATGGGACGTGGCCCACTTGACGGAAGTGAAATCTGCTGCTCCGTGGCCTAGAGGCTGAAGTGGGAGCTGGGAGGCCGAGTGCCCTGTTCTAACCACACAGAAACATCTCGAGACGGAGTTTTTACTGGCAATATTTCCCCACCGTCCAGAGGGCTGACAGAGCCGAGCTCCGCCCTCAAGTTACAGACAGCAGGGCAGCGATGTCACTTAAAGCCATGCAGCGAGCAAGTGGCAGGAGCTGGGATTATAATTAAGCCTTCCTGCATCCCAGACCTGTGCCTATCTGCTCAGATCTGAAAAGCAGGAAGACCCTCACAGTACAAGGGCTATGGATTTTGGCTAAGGGACTTCAAAACCAGCAAGATCTACTATATAATATGGGAGGCAGTGTTGCCTAGTGGACAAGGCCTCAGGAGACCTAGGGTCTATTCCCAGCTCTGCCCCTGGCTTGCTCAGTGACCTTGGGCAAATTGCTGCCCCATGCCTCAGTTTCCCCATCTGTAAAATGGGGCTAATGCTATTGACCTCATTGGTAAAAGCGCTTTGAAGTCTAGGGATGAAAAGCGCTGTACATAAGAGCTTGGTGGTGGTAACGGCGTAACAACACTGTGCTCTACCAACACAAAGCAGCATTTGAGCCCAACAGCCCCTGACGCTCGGGTACGTAACAGACGTACCTGCTCTGGAAAGGCTGCTGCCTCTGGGGCCGGGGGCTGAAGCAGCCAGGACAACAGAGTGTGAGTGTGGGATGGACCAGACCCAGACAGGCCTCTTCCGCCTCTCCTGTCTGACTCGCAGTGTTGGGAAGCGGAAGGCAGTGCAGTCTGCTGGGCAGTGCTCGGCACCAGGACGCAGCCTGGGCCCTGGGTAGGTCGCCTCCTGTCTCCGCCCCACTGTGCTGCACGTACCTTGTAGAGAACGTAGTCGATGCGGATTCCCAGCGGGAAGGGCTGCAGCTCCTCCTTGTTGATGAAACAGTTGGCTGGGACCAGGGTGTAGCCATCCTCGCAGCCCTGGGAGCCAACACAAGGTCAGTCAGTGCCCCTCCAGACGGACCAGACCCTGCCCTTCTCCCAGAGGGGGCGGGGCGGAGAGCCAGCGTCCCGCTGAGGGGCAGGGCTCTGGACTCTTACAGGGACTGCAGCCTGGCTGGTGGCTGGGAGGGGAGGTGGAGGTGCTGGGGGACAGCAGGCCGGGGAGGGAGCTGGGGGCGCTCAGGGTGCAAAGGAGGGCCAGCAGGTGGGAGGGGAGCCCAGCTGCGCCAGGCCACTCCTGCGTGCCCACCTGCCCATCTCCCTTGCAACAGCTCCTCCCTGGCCGGGCCCTACGGGGAAGCGCTTACCTCGAACCTCTCTGTGTCGGCAAAGGAGTCCCGCAGCCCTGTCCAGCCTCGCAGCAGCCGGATCCCCACGTCCTCGGGGTGCATGTTCAAATCCCCACCGACCAGCACCACATCCGCTCCCTTCGAGGTGTGTCTGAGGGGACGGGGCAGAGTCACTCGGCGGGGCCAGAGTGAGCGAGCGAGCGAGCCCCCCCGCGTCACGCTCCCTATGGCACCCTCTGCTGAGAGAGCCAGGGACTGGAGTAACTGGGGGCTTCTCCCACAGCTGATGCACCCCCTGTGGGGAGTAGCCGGGTCTGGAGCAGTTCCGAGCTCCCCTGCTAACGCCCCTTCGTTCCCGAGATGAGACACCGGGGTACAAACAAGGTCCCATTGGCGACGAGCCCGCAGGTGGCATCTCTGCTTTACTCACTGTATGAACTGAGCCAGCTCCCAGGCCTGCACCACTCGATGGGGGAGGTAAACGTCCTTGTCCCGGCAGTACTCCGCAAGGAGCTGGGGGAAGGGAGGACACAGGCAATGAATCCAGGCGCTCGGGGACAGACCCTGGGAACCTAGCTCTCGTCTGCCCTATACCAATGCCCAGTGTGCTCCCAGGCTCCAGGCAGTCTGGCTTTAGATGTCTCAAGCCAAGAGGCATTGGATGGAGAAGGAGAGATGGCTTTTCGCCTCTAGGGCTGAATCCAGCCCTCCTGGGTAATAACTGGATATTGCTGGTTAGTGCATCCTACAGGCTCCCATCACACCTGGCACTAACAGAGCCCCTCGCTGGCAGTCTTTTGTTTCCAAGATCTGTGCCAGCAGGGGATGACCCTGAGCATCTGAACTTCTTTCCTGCCCCATGTCAGAACAGCAATGCTGCTGTGTGGGGGGGGTGAATGTCCGGGGGATGGGAGGGGGGGACTGATGGTCTAAGGGGGCTCAGCTGGGGCTAGTGGGGTGAAATTGAGCAAAGGGCAATCAGGAACCCTTTCCTGCTGGTGGAACGGTCTTCCAAGGGAAATAGTGAGAGACCCCATGGCTTGAGACATCTCAAGCTAGACTGCACCATGTTTTTCCAATGACTCCCAGCCTCTGTCAGATCCTTGGCCCCCGCCCCCCACCTTCCGCGCAGTGAGACTCACGTGGGTCACATACACATGGAAGATAATCCCACAGATCTTGATGACGAGGAGCCCCACAGCCTTGCCGCAGAACCAGTCCCCATGCTGGAGCTGCCAGGACAGGAGAGGAGAGAGAGAGAAGGCTGGTTACAATCCGCGCGTCACTGCAAAGGCCCTCTCCCCTCCCCCCCCGGCCATAAGCAGCCCCCGTGGCAGCCGGCCCCCTGCACTCACCATGTAGGGGTAGCCATTCAGGGAGTACTGGTATAGGAAGGTGTCCAGGATTGGGTATCTGGAGAACACGCAGAGCCCACTGCCAATCACCCCACTACGAAAGAGAAACTACAGTCACCATCTTCAGCCAGAGCAGGGCCGCCTTGTCACTCAACCCTGCCCTGCCCTTGGGGGTCACTAGGTGGGGTTACTGAGCAAAACTCCCGGAGGAAAGGAGTGGGGGTCTAGTAGTTACAGCAGGGGTGAGGTGTCAGGACACCTGGGTTCTATTCCTGGCTTTGGGAGGGGAGTGGGGCTGGGGTTAGATAGTAGCGGACTGGGGGGGGTCAGCAGTCTTCCAGCCAGATTTAAAAAGGGGTCTTATTAATGAGTCAGGGTAAGCGATCGGCTAGAAAAATGTCGTTGCTATCACGTGATGCACGTATCTGGTGGGCAACCAAGGTGGCTACAGATGCTGGAAGTGGTGCCGTTTTTTTTATATCACGTAAATGTTTAAATGTTGTTGGGCATCAAGTCTGAACAAAACCCCATCAAATCCCCCAAAGGGTCATAACTCGAAGAAACACAGTCTTAATTTTGACCAAAATTGGCAGAAAACGTCTAAGTACAATTGATAATGCAACTTTGTTCTCAAAATAGTACTGTCTGGGAAATATTTAGTACCAGGTGATATATTTGATGCATGTTCCTGTACTTTTTTTTGCTTGTGGTTAAAGCAGAAGTCTGTAGTCATGCGACACCATGTACCATGTAATGCATCCAAATTTTTGTCAGTATTCGAAGAAAGGACTGATTGGAGAAAAGTTTTTGTCGCTGTTTTATATTTTATGAATACTGGCTGCTGTCCAATGCTTGCTGCACCAGCCACTGATGTTAATATAGTGTACACCCTGATGAAATACTTTCTGGGTATGTTCTGCTCTCTAGGCCAGGTCTAGACTTATGATGAAGCAACCTCCTGCAAAGCACAGTTGATTAAATGGAGGACTCAAAGGGAATTTGACAATGGCCGCCTTGAGATGGGAGCCATGCATCGTGCAATGAATGTCATGGGTGATGTAGGCAGTGTGATGCAGGAAAGTGGGTTTGAAGACATCCTTGTGGAAGCCATCATCTATGCTGCATCAGTCATCTGCCATGCTCTAAGAGGGACAGCATATAACCCTGGTGTTAGAATCCACAAACTTATGAATAAGGCAACGCATTGCTGGAAGTGGATGGCACCTGGCGATCCCATGAACAATGTTCTTCCAGAAGAGGAGATGAGCCCCATCTCGGAGAAAGCTCGAGCACGCGTCGAAGCCTTTGACGACGTGGAGCCGGCACACGGAGAAAACAATGTGGAAGCACAGAATGCTCTGGCAGAGCACCCAGTCACTCCACCAGCTCATGGACACATGTTATCCAAGGAACAAACTGTTCAGAGACTGTCAGGACCTCAGCTGGTTCTGGGCACGGTCACCTAGCAACCTAATGAGCGTGGCTGGGCCCAATAAACCCTCACTAAGTGACTGTGCTCTCTGATTGGACAGACGGGCCAACAGATTTCTATTTAAGCCTGGCAGACACACAGCACAGCAGACGAGCTTCTTGTTCAGCCCGTGCTTCATCTCATGCCTGTTCCACTCCAGCCCTTGTCCCTGCCTTCCTCTGACTCCTAACGCCAGGCTCTGACCACTGGCTTGTCTCCTGATCACGCCTCTGATTCTGTCCCGACCACTAGGCTGGCCTTCTGCTTTGACCACCGAGTCGCACTGCCTACTCCTCAGCATGTCTGCTCTGGGAGAACTATGTCACAGGATTCTCCCAATTGCTGGTGGATTATGTAGCAGCAAAGAGAGATGATAACAAGTCCACGGAGCTTGAGACATTGGCAGAGATGATTCCACTTGACGTCCAGTGTGGTCATGTGAATGAGGCAAGATGGGGTTGTGTAAAGGTAACAGAAGACAGACTTGTGGAGGATGAGAAGCCAGATATATATCATGTCCCAGTTGATAGGGAACAGAGTACTGGACTGCCAGACCCTTCAGTGGTGTGTGGCATGACATGGCCATCAAGCAATCTCTCAGCAAGGACTGTGGGAAGCATCAGCAGCTTTGCCCAAAGGATAAGGCTCTGACCCAGTATTACCTGACTACGCATTTTAAGGCAGCTGTACCAGCTATGACAAACAAAGGTGTGGAATGCAGCCTTCAGGAGTAGATCGCCACAAAGAAGCCACCACAAAGTGCATGGCTGCTGCTGTCCAAGATATTATAAAAGTCGTGACTGAAAGAATGACCCTGAAACAAGCCCAGACCACTTGTGAACGCTGCAACGTCTACTGTGGCCCCACCTGAAACTGCAGAAAGCTTGTGCATGACCAGAGAGAATGGCACACAAGAAACGAAGCAGTTTGTAACCAGTAGGCTACAAAGGGGGGAGGTAGGCCTCTTTTAATCCCATAAACAGGCATAATCGCAAATCATTTGGTAATCACAGTTGAACAAAAGAAGACGCAGACAGCACAAGCAATCACTATTGATGGTCAGATATCCAGCAAGCTGACAGTTATTGTCCAGTCCAGAGATGCTGATAGCAAGAGTCTGATGAAGTATGAGCTGGCACCTGCCCCGCTTTCCCTCTTGAGATGGATCTCTGAGAAACACCCAAAAGAGCAACATACCCTCTTGGCTGGAGAAAAATCTGTCAGTGGTTAAGCTACCTTGTATCACAGGTTGGCTGTACATTGTGTGACAAGGTACGTCCTTATGGTTGTTCTAAACCTGCTGCCTGTTCATTTCATCGGGTGACCCCTGGTTCTTGTGTTCTGTGAATGGGTAATTAACACTTCCCTAGTCACCTTCTCCACACCATTCCTGATTTTATAGACCTCTAGCAAGTTCCCCCTCAGGTGTCTCTTTTCCAAGCTGAACAGTCCCAGTCTTTTTAATCTCTCCTCATATGGAAGCTATTCCATACCTTGAATCATTTTTGTTGCCCTTCTCTGCACCTTTTCCATTTCTAACATATCTTTTTTGAGAGGGGGGCGACCAGAACTGCGCGCAGTATTCAAGGCATGGGCATGGCCAGCTGCTGAACAGTATCCATGGCTGTTGTTGGTGACAATTATGCAAATGAAGAATCAATGAAATTTGGTGAGAGAGCCCACAGGCACGATGTCCAAATGCAAGAAGTTTGGAACCTTACTGTGCTAGCAGCATTACCAAAGCAATGTGTGACGAGGATGCTATATTCAAAGACTAAATCTAACTTGCAAATTTTCTCCTCACTGTCTGGTTCGTGAAGTGGGAGCAGAGATTGTCAGCTGGTCGTGAAGTGCACTTTGCCGGTGGGTGTCACAGCATCGAACGAGCAGCGCGAGTCGTGCCTGGCCACCATTCTGCAATACCGAAACTCGAGGCAGATCCTGAGGAAGCAGATTCACAGATGTTCTTGCACATTGCTCATGCAAAGCAAACACCCAGAGTAAACAGGCTGCTTGGACTCAGATGCGGAAGTTCCGTGCCAAAGATAATGCTCTGTTTGTGGGGCAGCTGGTGTTGGCCCAAAGAAGAGCTTCATTCCCACGCACAGAGAGGCTACGGAGCTGGGAATGGACGTGTGTCTGAGGCAGCCAAACAGTCATGCACTCAGTGGTCGTGCCTCTACTTCAGCTATCAGTGGCATGGGAAAAAGAGATGGCTGCAGACAGCAGCTGAGCACCCGGAGAAGGAGTTTAGAGCTCTTCTTCCCACCCCTCGCAGCAGGAGTGTGGAAGTAGGGGGGCACCAGAATGTCTCTCACACATCCATTTGGACACCCCAGGCTCAGGGCACTGTGTCTATGGCATGCATTGTGATTGTTTGTTCTCAATTCCCCACTCTGGTCTTGGGGCTGAGGCAGGGGCCTGCACTGCTGCTGTCTATGCTTCACTCCCCACCCTGAGCTCAGTGCTTCTGGCATTTACAAAGCATGTCCCACCTCAGCTCGCTGGTCTCAGGGAGGTGGCTGTCATATGGACCGAGCACGCCCACTCTCAGCAGCCCCCTCCTCTGCTCTCCGGGCTATATGCCTGTCACATGCCTAGTCTCAGCTCCCTTACGGTCACAGTGCTGTTTGCCTGTGATATGGACCAAGTCTACCTGCTCTCAGCGCCCCGTCTCAGCCTTGTGGCAATACTCAGCACTGCCCTCCCTCACTTTGAGATGCCTAGAAAATCGGGCACAACAACGGGACCCCCCCCAACCCCGAGTTAGGTGGTGAGGCTCCTTCCTCAGTTAATGGGGAGAGACAGGAATTAAGACTGGGCTTGTTGGTCTAGGGGCCAAACTGGGCTGGGGAGGGCTCCCTCATGCTTGCCTGGTGAATCTGTTCCCCTAACTATTATTTGGGCCACCAGCTGGGTTACAATCACTTGTTAGTCCAGTGGTGAGGGATCCCCGGGCTGCCTGATGAGGAGAAGGGCATTGCCAAAGGTGCTCCCTTGAGCTTGCTGCTGGTCCACTTTATTAATTGGAGGGCCAAAGGCAGTCTCAGGGCTCTGCTATAGCCCAGCGGTCAAGGGGCAGACCTGGGGTGTTAGAGGTCCTGGTTTGAGTCTCCCTGTGCTAGGGAGGGCCTTTGGTCTTTCCTCTTGAAGTGGTTCCACTTGAATTAAATATTAGTTGGGCCAAAGGGCTCCTCCAATGTGAAAAGCTCTCTATAGGCCAGTGGTGAGGGTACTACCTTGGGATGCTGGAGGTGCTATTTTGAGGCCTCTCCGTGCCAGAGGTGGAAAAGGGATTTGGAGGGGGAGCTCCCTTAGTCGTCCCTCTTAAAGAGATTCCACTTTAATTAAGTATAAGTTCCACAAAGGTTAGCACTAGAATAACTCTATAGTCTACTGGTTTTGACGCTCGCCTGGAATGTGGGAGAACCAGGTTCACATCCTCCCTCTGCCTGTTAAGAAGAGACTAGAACAGGGGTCTCCTTTTTGACCAGGCTAAGAGGCGGGAGCTCCTTGTTTAAGTCCTCTCTCTTTTGCAGGAGGCAAACGCAGCGGGGCATGTGTGGGGTCAATCTACTCCCCCTCTCTGCCCAGAGAACCTGTGGTGATGCCCCAGACCCTACCAGGCCCTGAACAACGAGGAGGTGGGGCAGAGAAAGGGATCTGGCTCTGGGCAAGAGGTGCAGAAGATGCCTCTATGTGTCAGAGGTTTGGGATCCCTCAGCGGTTAAGAGCAGCTTTGTGAGGAGCCAGATCTATCGCAATTCCCTCCAATGACCAAGAGTTACTCCCTGTAACATCCCAATGGGAGGTAACGCCAGACATGCCCTCCAGGCCACAAACCCATAGACTTCCCCAGGACACTAGTCAAGTATCCTTAGGCTTGGAAGGACCAGATTTTTATCAGTAAATGTCGCTTTCACCGTGCACACACAAACTGATGGGAAAAAATATGAGATAAGTGAAATCTACAGACAGGCCGAGTCAGAAAAATGCTGCTTGAGAACTTTGATTAACTTCGTATATTTTGACCTGTGGCGTTGACAATTTGTGTTTTAACGGTTATAAAGCTTTAACTTGTTGAATCTCAGCATCTACTGTCATTAAATAATTATTTCCTGACCTCTCCCTCTAACATTCCAGCAAAGGAGAAGATTTCATGTGGATAATACATTTTAAAAATGCTTAAAATCATAATTCAGTGCAACTGTGAAATTTTCAATCAATCAAAATTGAAAAATATGCTTCACAATAAATATCAACACTACTGGTCGAAAGGATAAACAAATCAACATCGAATTCTGGCAAGTCTAAGTATCCCTTAAGCATTCTCTTCTGGCAGAGGGAGATGGGACAGTTAGTACAGACACAGGGGATGGCTTTAAAGCTATTCTATCAACTCTATAAATGTCATAGCTCCCTGTATGGGAGAGTCTCCAGGGGGAAAAAGGGATTCACTCATGCAAATCCCCAGGCAGGTAAACAGATCTGGAAAAGGCTCAAAACCCCACCGCCCCCAGCCTGGGAAATTGCACAGACTGGTTTGGACTGGTTGAAGGCAGTGACCAAATAAAGAACTGGGAAGGGTAGAAAGTGACCAGCCTGACATGGGGAAGGGGGTCACTCTCACTCGACTCAAGAGGGGATGTGTCGCTGTGACCAAGAGGCACAGATCCGGTGGGGAAGGTCTAAGAGACTGTTCCCTTCAAGGTGTCCATGTGGAAGGTGGGTGACACTCCACAGCAATTGACTAGCCATTTATTCACACCTCAGTTAATCATGTATGAACCCCTTACAAGCACACCTTTAATATCAAGCCTGTCCCAGGCTGTATCTGAGGGGGCAGGAGACGTAAGGGCTGGGCTAGCACTGGAAGGGATGACCCTGCTTGCCTTTTTCCCTGACAAAGTCTGCTTGGGTGCTCCTGAGAGATGCTGTCTCAGCGAGTCGTTATCTGCTGCCTCCAGTCCCTTTGTGCCTGCCCATTTATGGTCATGACACAGCTGCCCCATGGGCAAGCTCCGCCCAGAGAACGCCAAGAACCCAGTGTCACTGCCCCGGGCACTGCAAAGACAGCTGGAGAGCATCACTATTCCCTGCTGGGATCTCAAGGGAGCTGCAAAGGGCCTGTGATAGGGCCAGAGACAGTTTGCGACATCCAGCTAATACCCTGCCCTTGGGTGATAGGCTATCCGGGGGGAGGGGGGGGGGGGAATGTTCACCAGTCACCACCCTAAGGCTCTGTATCAGACGGGCAAAGGCCGCTCACCTGCTGTGGTCCCCTGGGGCGGGGACACGGCACGTAGCAGCCTGCCAGGGTTCAGTGCTGGCATAACAGTAGCAAACTTTATTATGATTAAGAGGCGGCGCTTTCTGCTGAGCAAAAGAAAGGGTGTCTCTTATTTCCAGAGAACATTTCCTCCCAGCATGCTTCACAGACCACTGCATTCACGGGTCACTGAAATGCAGCCGTCTCTGGGGTGGAATGTGGCAGCTGTTTAACAGTGCACCCCATCAGGTTCATGCAGCACCTGACATCTTACAGTGAGCTGTAGCTCCATAAAGTCAACCTGAACCCACGCAAACTCCAACTGCTTCCTTCGCCCAGAGCTCAGCATGACGTAGCATTGCCAATCCCAATCCATGAGCTCGGCTTAGCAGCCATGAGATCTTTAAAAATACCTTTCAGATTATTTTTGTCTCCTGGTGTCATAGCTGCCAGGGCTGTGTTTTCAGACTTTCCTCTGCAACCACGAGAGACAGAAACTTCCCATCTGTTTTTTTAAGCCGAGATTCTCAGAGAATCACATGGGTTGAGGAGCTGGGACTTCAGGAAAACCATCAATGACCACAAAGCTCCTGATAAGATCCCGTGAGTTTGCAAAACTGAGTGCTACCTGCTGCCAGGGCCCCTCTGATACACGGATAAGCAGCACCCGGGGACTCCAACAGCGCCTCTTACCTTTTGAAGTAGTGGGAGTAGGGGTAGCAGACAGTCAGCTTCTGTTTCAGCTCACAATAATCCCTCTCGCTCCACACCTGGAGAAGCAGGAGAGAGGCTGACAGCAGTGGGAACTCGAGTCACAGAAGAGAAGCCAGTCCAGCCCCACCTGCTTCCATGGCCCTCGCCCTCTCCCTCCTTCACCCCCAGTCCAACTCCCAGCCCTCATCACCTCCCGCATCCTGGCCTCCCTGAGCCCTCACCTCCTGTAAGAGTGCCAGGTCGAACCCCTCCTGGCTAAGCGTGTCGCCAATCAGCCCAATGCGCTCCTGCCGCAGCTTGCTCAAGTAGCGAATCGCCCTGGGGGGAAGAAAGGAGAGGCTGTGATGGGCATCCTTGACAGCGGCTCACCTCCTCCTCCAACCAGCGCAGCTCAGGCCCCTAGTGCCTTGAGCAGTCATAGGGAAAGGCATCTAGGGAGGGGTGCCCATGTGCTGGGAGACCCCTGAATGCTAAGGATTGCCCTCCAAACACGCAGCGGACTAGAGCCCCAGCCCTGTCCTGCTTGAGGCAGAGATACAAAAGGGACAGGAAGTTTCCTTCAGCCTCTTGCACGCTCACCTCAGCTTCAAAGCAAGAGAGACTCCTCCAGGGCTGGCCTGCGGGGACAGAGGGGCAAGCAGGGTGGTTGCCCTGGGCACCAATTTCCGGCATGCGGGAGGACACCAAATCGGAGGTTTGGGGTTTTTTTTGGCTCAGCCATTCGGGGGACATTGGAAACATTTTCTGCCCCAGTTAACAAAACACCCAGGGCCGGCCCTGGACACAGTGCAAGGAGAAGCAGGAGCAGCCGGGTTTAAAATCAGACCAGACACAGGACTAGGAAGGTAGAGAGGAGGGGTGGAGGGGATTTGAATTCAATAGGGCTTCATGGCCCTGGTCGCGTCTAATGCCTACGACTCCACAAAGCCATACGCAAGATGAGAGCCCTTGTGGGAGGCTGTGTTTGCAGGCCTGGCCTGACTCCTGCATGGGTCACGTAAGGTGCTTTGCACGCGTGCTTGGGAATCGGGGACAGCGTGTACCCAACACACATTAGCTGAGCCAGTTTCCTTGCCCAAACCCGAACCCGCAATGCGCTCAGTCTGCCTGCAGGCAAGAGCTGCCGGTGCACGAAACAGGACTGGCATTCTGGGCTGAGGAGGCTGGCACAGAGCCCACAGCAGTGACGAGGTGAGCAGCGCCGAGGCTCCCTGTATGGGGGGGAGGAGTGGGGCTTGCTCCAGGAAGGTAGCTCGTTGCAAATGGACAGGGGAGGAGGGACCAAGGTGGAGCAGGATGGAGCCCCTGGACCTGAGTAACTCCTGACTGCAGGGTGCAGATCTGCAACTAAGTTGGGAGGGATGGGTTAACCGAGGCCCTGCTTTGCCTCTGGTGACAGATCCCTCCTCCCCTCAAGACAGGGGCATCCAGCTTTGTGACACTTCACTCACATATCCCAGTGGTGTGAACAACGGGCACCAGGTCCCATTCCCAGGCACCTCCTCTAGGATAAACGACACCTCTAGGAGATGTCTAAATCCTCTAGGAGATCCTGGGGTGGGAGATGCCACTACCAGCATCTTCCACCCCAGGATCTCCATGCGCTTTACAATGGCAGCCCTGCTGTGAGGCTGAGGGACATATATTAGCGTCGCCCCTTTATAGGAATTGAGGCACAGAGAGGCATCAAACCAGCAGCAGGGCTCCTGGCTCGCAAGTCCTCTGCTTTAACCCCTAAATGTAATAATCGGGAACGTGCTGAGAGAGATCTGAGGGACCCCCTGGCTGCACGTCTGTGCTAAGGTATGTCATGCCTCTCCCGGATGAACCTGCACCCACTGCCCTGGAGAGCCACCCTCCACGAGTCTGCTTTGAACTCTGCTCGTCCAATGGAAGAGCAAACAAACGGCGACTTACCAGCAATTGAGGTTGAAGACGCGCAGTTGCAGTGGTGGATCCGTGTCCATCGCAGCCAGCTGGTGGGTCGCCGAGCCTTCTTGCCGTTCAAGGAGCAAAGGGCGGAAAGCGAGGGGAATCCGCTCTGATGACGAAGCCAGCGAGAAAGGGATTGGAGGTGGTTTGAATCAGGGTCCCCCCTCAGTTCCGGGCATCTACAGGTTCTCAGTCCACAGAGTGGAGCTGAGTGAGAAGAGAGGTGTCAGGCTTTGCCAGGTGATAGGGTAACTAAGACCGCTGCATTGGCAGGTTAGCTGGAGAGGACAAGGGGGTGGGGCAACTGCTGGCACTATCTCAACACAAACACCTGTGCTTCTGTATGCATCTCTTGGCTAACTCCCGGAGGCAGCAGATGGGAGGCGACAGTAGGAGGGAAAGGGGCAGAGCTAAGAGGGGTTCAGGAATTAAAGGGACATGCACAGGTGAGACTGGGCACATTTACACACGCTAAGCCCGCACTGACATGCTGCTTGGCTTCTCTTTTTCAAGGATTTCAACTGAAGCAGGTGAAGAGATGAACCCCCACCCCACCTGCGGCTGCTACTCAGACAGCACAGCGGCTGGGAAGTGCAGGAGAGCCAGGCAGTGAAACCGACTACGCTCCTAAGTGAAACTGACCGGCCAGGTTTTCCACCAGGCTGAAAGAATCAATCATGAGAAGTGTATTGGATTTTTAAAACTCTTCCGGTTTTAATCTGGCCCTGGGCAGATGACTTGGGCTTGCAGGGCTACAAATTGCAGCGTAGGGTACGTCTACACAGCTATTAAACACCAGCTACACAGGGGCAGCTGGCTCAGGCTTGCGGAGCTTGGGCCATGGGGCTAAAAACTGCAGTGTAGATGTTTGGGCTTGGACTGGAGCCCGAGCTCTGGGACCCTGCAAGAGAGGGAGCTCAGGTTTACAAGGTCTATAGGTGCCTAAAGTTCCAGATAGGCGCCAAAGTCAGCTATTGTTAATTTGTGCCTAGAACCTTTCATCTGGGGGACCTGAAAGCGCTGCACAATTCCTCCTCCTTCCCCATCTACACCTCTGTCACCACCGGGCAGGATTAGCACAACCTGTTCTTTTCAGGGTTCCCCTAGATGTTCATGCTGAAAGTTTAGCTAGTGCATCACACAGCGGCCTGCTTGCTCAGGGGAGCAAGGCGGAAACAGCTCATGATACCTGTGCTCTGCACACCGCTCCGGCACGCAGGTGCCAGTCGGGGCATCAGTTTCAATCTATAAGGCACTATGTGCTTTGGAACCTGGCCACAGCCGAGACTATCTCTGCCCCTAAGCCCTACTGCAACTGCAGGCAGTCCCTACACATGAGCTCCTCACAGGCCCAGAATGCTCTCAAATAGATGGTTCTGTGGCACCGAATCCGGCAACCTGCGCCCAAGTTTATTCGCCTTTGGAGCTTATTGCCAGGGTCGTCTTTTCAGACAGCGCTAGCTAAGAAGTTGCCTTCTTTTCCATTCCCAGTTGCTTCCCAGGTAGGGGGCTGGTTAATTGGGGGAGGCTTAAAATTTCTGCCCATTGAAAGGAAGTGAGACATACCATGGAAATGGGCAAACTATAGATTATTCAGACAATACATGCACGTGTAGGTACAGCACGTATAAGCGCAAAACCTTACGTTAATGCAATGCTGAAATTTTCACATTTAAACACAGGCCATGCAGGGAATGAAAGAGTTAACATAAGCACAGTCACATTAATTCACTCAACACTGCACACACTGCATGAATTAAGGGGGAAATATTAAAAGCCTAAGTATCCATGAAAACGACAAGATACGAACAAGGAGACGGAATTAACGTTGCTCTGAGATCCGTACACGGTTTCATTTCCTGAACAGCCGGTGTTTAAAATTTGCAAGCTCCACTGTGTATTAACACAGGCGTTTGCATGTATCTTCTTTAGTTAAAAAAAAGAACCAACCCGACGACGGAGTTGCCTAACTGCGTACTGGTACAATTTCAAGGTTTTAACTCAATTATCTGCAGACACCATACCACCCCCCACAGCATTATGCAACTGTGCAGTACACAGAACACCACTACTTCAACCACAGTAAATACTGTTACTGTGCATGTGCAAGTAACCTTTCAACTGCTTGTAAACTCTCAAGGCGATATTCCTCCTTTAAGAGGAACCACAGCTTTAATAGTCTAAAGTGGTGTTATAAAACAGGACCGCCTCCCTATCCTAAACTATTGCAACAAGGGTTTGCAGTGTTGCTTTGCAGTGTGAAACAGCTTATCTGTTCCTCCCCAGAGGTGGCTGCATTTCAGTGTGGTTTGTGAAGCGCCTTGTCTCTCTTTGTACCCACTCACCGCCCCAGAGCATTTTCAGAGCATTCTAAAAAAAAGAATCCGTTGGGCTGGAACTTTCTTAGCACTTGGCCTAAAGGTGACTATTTTCAAAGAAAGTTTGAAGACCATGTGATCTTCAGTAGGCTTGCATGCAAACATGTAACAAACCCATGGCCATTCGGAACATCACGGTAAGGGATGGTCTTCTTTAACGGTGTACCCGCATTCAACGGACACAATGTTCAACATGACATTACCCATCCACACTGACTGCAAAGTCATGAGTAACACGGTGTTAGTTAACACAATGTAGTTTTCTAGTGTTGACAAGCCCCTAGATGGACATAACTTCTCCTGACCAAAAGGATAGGCCCTCACCACTGTAGATAGGAGATTCTCCATTAGCTATAGGCAGTGGAGGGCTGATATCACAGAAGTGATTAGTTCTGACTCCAGCCAGCAGCAGGCAGTGATTGCCCCTACCAGTTTGTTACCATAAGAACATAAGAATGGCCCTACTGGGTCAGACCAAAGGTCCATCTAGCCCAGTATCCTGTATCTGACAGTGGCCAGTGCCAGGTGCCCCTGAGGGAATGAACAGAACAGGGAATCATCAAGTGATCCATCCCCTGTCGCTCATTCCCAGCTTCTGGCAAACAGGCTAGGGACACCATTCCTGCTCATCCTGGCCAAT